TTTAAGTTTTTTTTTTGTTCTTTTCTCTCCTCTTAGAGTTTTTGATTTTTTTGCTCTTTTTTTTTCGTTTCTTCTTGTTGTCAACAAGCAACATGATTTCTGCATCTTCTACCCACAATACTGATGCTTCATTAACCACTGATGATGAAGATTCTGACCACAAATCCACCACCAGTTATAAGGAAAGACGCCGAGAGGCTCATACTATGGCTGAACAAAAACGTAGAGATGCAATTAAAAAAGGTTATGAGGAACTTCAATCATTGGTACCAACTTGTGCTCAACAAGATTCTGTTTCAAGTTATAAATTGAGCAAAGCGACGATTCTTCAACGATCAATTGAATATATTCAATATATGCAATCACAGCAGAAAAAAGAGGAAGAGGATTTACAAGTAAGTTTGTTACTAAATTATCTCCAAGGCCTAAGAAATTAACGTTAAGTTTTTCTCTGATTTTATTTTTCTATATTTTGTTTACAGTCTCTTCGTAAAGAGGTTATTGCTTTACAAATAATGAAGGCTAATTATGAGCGTATAGTTAAACACCATCAACAAGCTCAACCTGGACAATCGTGTAATCAAATAAGTGAAGATGTTAAATTTCAAGTTTTCCAAGCAATTTGTGATTCTCTTTTCCAATCATTTGATTCTTCAGTTACAGTTAAAAATTTCGATGAACTTTCTGGTGGTATATTCGGTTGGCTAGAGGAACATTGTAAACCTCTTACCCTTCGTGAAATAATCATCAACGTATTAAAGCAACTTAAAAGTCAAATGATTAACCACCATTAGATGGTCATAATCAACTTTATTTTCAAAATCAAATTGTTACGATTACTTTAAAAACATATACACAAAAAAAGTTTATCATATGATAACAAGGAGAAGATTATTATATTTTATATTTCTCCAAAATTGTTTCTATTAGTATAAAACTTTGTAATACAAGAAGTGAACTTTGTTTTTTAAATTGTTACAAATTAAATTCAAATTAACTGAAATCAATTAAAATATTAAGATTAATGAAACAGAGACAATTGATAACTAATGATGATACAATTGAGGAATAAGAAAAAAAAACAAGATACAAATATTGAATTAAATTCTTAATTGATTGGCTATAATTCAACAATTAACTCGTAATCAGAGATTCGGTTAAAACTTTCAAATCAACAGAACTTTTGAAATAAATGTTTCAAATTACGTTGAAATTTTCTCATCTTTCTCTTCATCAAATTACTTACTAACAAATTGATTCTAAATAATTGAAAGTAATCATTTTCAAAGTAGAGACAAAAATGACAATTAATCTGATTGATTAGAAAATTAATTTTTCTAAAGAATAAAAAAGATTTAAAAAGAATACGAGAAAATAGTTGTTTTATTGTCCACCAGATGTCAGTGATCGTGGAACACAAGTTGACTCAGCAAGTGAATGAATGAAGGGCCTTCGCTTGAGGGGCAGAAATTAAACTTCAAACACTTGACGTTAATTGTTTTTATTTTGTTTAATTGTTTCTTTTATTTTCTGATTAACTTTTTATTTCTCTTTTTTTTTACTCTGATTGTGGTTTTACTTTTGTCTTTGTATAAAAATGTGAGTATTTAGTTTTTATCTCCATTGGTTTGTCGATATTCTAATATTTTACCTGTGATCTTTTGTTGCCTCTAAGAAAGCAACAAGTGGAATCACAACCTTCAAACCTTGAAAACTCCCCTTGATGTAAAACTTGTCTGTTAATCTTTCTCATTTTTTTCTATTTCCTTCAATCTTTTCTTTCTTTCTTTCTCTTTTATATGCTCTTTCTTTGTGTGTGGTGATTATTTTCTGTATATGTGTATGTTTTTCTTGTTCTCTCTCCCCCCTCTCTGTGCTATATTAGGTCAACTGGATATGATGGTAACCGATCTGCCGGTGGCGGTGGTGGTGGTGCTCCTGCATCATCTAAACGGCTTCAACAAACTCAAGCTCAGGTGGAAGAGGTTGTCGGTATTATGAAACATAATGTGGAAAAAGTTTTGGAACGGGATCAGAAATTAAGTGAATTGGATAATCGAGCTGATGCCTTGCAACAAGGTGCCTCACAATTTGAACAACAAGCTGGTAAATTAAAGCGTAAACAATGGTGGAGAAACATGAAAATGATGGCCATTTTAGCTGGAATATTTATTGTCTTTCTTATTGTGCTGATCGTTTCATTCACTTCTTAAAAAAAAGGAAAAGTATTAATCTCCCAACAATATCAAATCTCTTTTTGTCAAAGAAACAAAACAAAAACAAAAATTATTCAGAAGTTCATTGTCATCTGAGTAAGCTCAACATTCTGATGATATTACTTTTATGATAATAATAAAACTGAAATTGGTTAAATTTTTTTTTAACTCAAAAAAAGATTAAATCAATTGAAAGACTTTTTAATTGTGAAATGTGAAAAACAACATCAACACAACAACAGACTTAAACACTATCAATCCAACCATGAAATCAAACAATTGAGCTCCTTTTCTGTATAATTGTTGAATGTTAATGAATAATTAATTGTGAATACGGGAAAAATATCGACTCGTTTTTAAGTATAGTTAATATGTGAACAGATACAATTATATAATTACCATGATTCATTTGGTTTACTTCAAATTGTGTTCAACTCAATCACTGACACACCTTTTCCTCTTTACCTTATTCACTTTCTTTCCGATAATCAAATTAACGATTGTTTTTAAACTGAACAAGGTAATAATCATGTAATGAAATCAGGTTTCTATATATAAACAATAACAGAAAAAGAGTTGATGAAATTATTGATGATTCATCTGAGATGAAGTAAACTTTTAGCTCGATCCAATAGACTTTGTGGTTCACTGTGAAGAAGAAGACAATTAAAAGATGGAGATTAGTTAATGATGGTTTAGAGGTTAATTAGATTGAATTGTGATTTTCCTAATGGAAGGGTAATAATTACCTTTTCTGCTCTGGCATTTCCCCACTGGCTTTTAAATCTGTCAACAAGATTAATGGAAACATATTAGATAAGATTCTTAATCTCTGATGATTTTTTTTACTTCACAATCTAACTGTCAATCTTTACAATTAACAGTCTAACTAACCTTCTAGTTTTTTCACTAAATCGTTGATATATTTTACTTTCAATGGTTCTGATTGTTTGTAGGTTGATTCGTGATTCTTTTCAATAGCTTGAGCCCAACTTAACCCAATCCATTCAGCTTCTTCCAACTGTAAATGTACAACATGAGACAAATTAATTGGATATAGTTTCGTGAAAGGACAATGGTGACAATCAAGTGATCATTGACAATGATTGGCAAAAATATACAATCTCATTGTCAATTAAAATACACTGAGGGTTTGATATGCTTGAGTATGATTACAGTTATTATATTACAGGAAATTTGATAGACAAACTTACCGGAATTTTACAATCTTGATATTTATTCTTGACTAATTCAAATTTTTCAGGATCATTTGGATGGAAATCGTTTTTAGCTAATGTTATCAGCATCTTTCGACGAAGCTTAAGAGCCAATTTTGATTGAAGGTCTTGAATTGGTGTCCGAAGGATATAATTATCGAATCCATGAGCCTCGTGAATTAAATTGAGAGCGTGTTTTGTACACACTATACTCAAATAGGTGTCAAGTACTTCACTATAAACGGTTGTCCGGTAGATATTAGGCATCCATACCTTAGCATTTCTATATGATCAGAATAGGAAAGGAAAATTAGTAAGAAAGTGTTGGCAATGGAAATGGAAACTGTACCTGACACCAGAGTCTCTGAACAATTGTCTCTTTGGTAAACTAAAGCCGAAAACTACATCTTCTCCGCCGAGAATAGCTTCGTCAGAAGTTTGTAGCTTTTGAGTGGCAACTGGTAGATCGGGAACTCGTTCACTATTTGGTAAAGAATAAAAAAAAAGAGAAAAAGAAAATAAATAAATAGATAAAATGTAAACATAACTCATAACATGTGAATTTGTTTTTCTTACATTCTTAAGGTTTTCGCATCAGTAAGTTTATAATCCAAAAGGTCACCAGTGGTTGGGTCATCATGAACACGAACCGGTGGTTTAGTAAGTTCCAATCGGTGTTTCAAATAATGTTCAGGAAGACGACGGACATATGGATTTCTCATCCATCCAAGAGGATAAATATTTCTCGTAAAAGCTCCGATATTCATGTTCCCGAATATCAAGTCAAATTATTAACCACTCAAACTGATTAAAAATCAATTCAAATGTAAATAAAGTGATGATTAATTATCAAAAGAAAACAATTTACCACATTAATTGAATTGATAAACAATAACTACAATTGAAAACATGTGAGAGATAAACAAATTCAGTTTAATCCATGAATCGATTAAATTATAAGAGTCGATCTAAAATCGATTTTCGTTTCGTAAAAAAACTTTTCCTTGTTTTTCAAATTTCAATCTAAAGCCACCGATTGATTGTTATTCAAGATTCGAGTTCATAAGTTTAAATAGTCCAATATTTAAATCGATTTTGATAAAAAAAAGTTCAGTGATTAAGTGAGGACAGATCTCGATCTCTTTCACGATCTCAGGCCTACTGGTGCTCTAAGGATGAAGTCGTTCGAGGTTTGAACCCTTAACTTGTTTTGCTTTCGATTAGATCAGATTTTCATGTGAATTCATATTAATACCCTTGCGAGATTTTCAAGTCCTTACTCACAAAAGTTCTGGACAATGTCCGTTTTTCATCACGGAAGTTACAATCTATTTATATACATAATTATTGATTCAGCGTATATCATTTGATAGTGATTAATGAGAATGAACTGAGAGAAATTGATTAAAGTTGTTTGATCAGAATCATAGTGGATAATGATGATAATTGGAAAATAAATTATCGTAATCTGCATCACGAACTGATTCAATTATCTGACTGCACGAACTGAATTTTGAACTTTGATATGGATTCAGATTTCAAGTTGATTGAATGAATAGATGTTCAGTTTATTTATTTTAATTTAGTAAAATGTTTTATTTAAATTGTTTCAAGTTTGTTCCTTTTCATAATTGATGGTACAAGTGAGTCTAGTCTGCAATTAAAGTTATAATCGTAAAGAGAAAATTGATTTGTATTGATCAGGAAACGGAAACAAAAGAAAGAAAATTTTAAATTTGAAAAGTTCGACGGCAAATAAGTCGACAATATTTTTTGTTCCATCAAAAAACTTATCCATTGATTGGTAATCATAATTAACTGATTGTTGTTGTTGTTTTTGTTGTTATTATGTTGATTATTATGTTGGACATTTTTAACAAACGTCGCTGAATAAACTGGACATTCGACTTTGTCTGAATTCTATGAAACTAATTCTTCCATCTCGATCAGTGTCACATTCAGTCATCAATCTTTCAACATCTTCCGCGGTAAAAGGCTTGTTGGACATCGCAAAGGCCATTTTAATCTCGTACCGATCAAGGTAACCATTTTTATCGGCATCAATCCAATCGAAAAGTTTTCGCAAGTTACCATGTTTCTCGGCGATAGTTTCCAGAAAAGCTTTCAATTTATCAGAAGTAATAAAACCATCGCCTTAATCATGATCAGAGAAAATAATAAGTAAATAAATCAAATCAGAATATAAAACAAAATAATACAATTAGATTCATGAGAACCAGAATTTACAGTCAGAATCAAAGATTAGTTAGTCTTTCTCCGTTCTTACCAGTGAATTTGTCTATTTTGTGACTATAAATCATTCTAATTATTTAACTGTAGCAATTAATTTAGTTGATAAACAACGTGAAATGTTATTCTTAGCTTAGTTTACGACTAATTCAAAATAATTTAAATTTGATTTGCATTCGAAATGGGATTAAATTAACTACTTGTTGCTTAGAAACAAAATCTGAACTTTGAAGTACGAACATAAATCCTTCGAGTATAAATGAGTTAATTAGATTGAGATGATCCAATGAAGAGATTATAAATCTTTCATAACAATTAGCATTCAATTATATTGGATTATTTATTAGTTGTTATTATTGTGTGAATGAATTTGATTAGATTAACTTACTTTGAATTTCCTCGATTGTTTGTGTAACTGTCCCTTCTTCCGGGTGAAGTCCGAGTTGTTTCAAAATGTGTTTAAATGTCGAGATGTCAAGTTTACCTTCTTTATTAGCGAGAGAATTGAAATAATCTTTCAAATCACTTTCCTTGATTTCCAATTTGTCGCCCATTCTTATGATTTAATAATTAACACAAAAAATTGATACTTAAAATAAGGGAAAAAGAAAAAATGAGAGAGTGAGGTGGCGAGTGAGCGAATCAGTGAGATAATGTATGTGTGAAAGAAAGAGAGAGAGAAGAAAGAGATGAACAAATTAAAACGAATTTGAATATTTACAGAAAACAATTAAAACTCGAAAACAACAAAAAAGGATATTCACTTGAAAGAGACACTGAAGATGTGGCGATGATGATGATAATAATAATGAAGATGAGGTGGTGGATGAAAAATAAGAATATCTTCCCTCCTTGGAACAACTGAGAACGAAAATTTTGGCGATTGGACAATTTTTACTTCATAGAATAACCTCAACCACTCTCACTCTCTTTCTCTCTCCATCTTTCTTTATCTCTTTCTACATTTTGCTTCTCTCTCTCTCTCTCTCTCTCTCTCTCTCTTCTTTCTTTCTTTCTTTCTTTCTTTCCCTCCATGATAAATATAAATTCAACGCCAAGAATACTCTCTCTCTCTCTCTCTTTTTCTCTCTTCGCTTGAGTCTTGGCTTAGATGAGCCATTGTGAGAAATCCGCCTCTTCGAGAATCTAATCATTCTCTCGTTTTATGTCGACTTTTCTCCATCATCTCCAACGTAATTAAAGAATCAAGTGAGAAGTAGAGAATAAATTGTTATAATTAAAAGGTTGATGAAGAACATGTTCCAAGTGATTGAGATGATGGGGAAGAGGCGGAGATCGTTTACAGTTGGGATTTTTTAGGAGATAATCTGTCTCAGAGTCTCTTCCGTTTATCGTCATCTTCCTTTTCTTATATTATTTCTTTTTCTCTTTCTCGTTCGCAGCTTTTATTCTTGGCGTTGAATTTATATTTATCATGGAGGGAAAGAAAGAAAGAAAGAGAGAGAGAGAGAGAGAGAGAGAGAAGCAAAATGTAGAAAGAGATAAAGAAAGATGGAGAGAGAAAGAGAGTGAGAGTGGTTGAGGTTATTCTATGAAGTAAAAATTGTCCAATCGCCAAAATTTTCGTTCTCAGTTGTTCCAAGGAGGGAAGATATTCTTATTTTTCATCCACCACCTCATCTTCATTATTATTATCATCATCATCGCCACATCTTCAGTGTCTCTTTCAAGTGAATATCCTTTTTTGTTGTTTTCGAGTTTTAATTGTTTTCTGTAAATATTCAAATTCGTTTTAATTTGTTCATCTCTTCTCTCTCTCTCTTTCTTTCACACATACATTATCTCACTGATTCGCTCACTCGCCACCTCACTCTCTCATTTTTTCTTTTTCCCTTATTTTAAGTATCAATTTTTTGTGTTAATTATTAAATCATAAGAATGGGCGACAAATTGGAAATCAAGGAAAGTGATTTGAAAGATTATTTCAATTCTCGCTAATAAAGAAGGTAAACTTGACATCTCGACATTTAAACACATTTTGAAACAACTCGGACTTCACCCGGAAGAAGGGACAGTTACACAAACAATCGAGGAAATTCAAAGTAAGTTAATCTAATCAAATTCATTCACACAATAATAACAACCAATAAATAATCCATGATAATCCACTTCTAATTTCGTCGATTATGTAATGCTAGACTTTTCGTTTCTGAGTCATGACAAAATACTCGAAGTATTCGGAGGTGTAAATATAGATGATTATCTTTGAACAAATTTAGCTTCTCATGGTTGATGAAAAGCTAAGTGATTGCTCTGAACAAGACTGTCTTTCAGTGTAAACTATTAACAATCAATTCTAAATAACTAATAGATAATTTTAGAAACATTAATCAGCCATCAGAATGAATCTCACAGTTGAAAAGTTCTAAAATCGGGACCACAGGTTCGAAGTCTAGTTTAAATATAAATACATTATGTCACTTCAAGACTTTAGAAACTGTATCGATGTTAACAGTAACTAGGATTCTACTTTAATTGTTCAGATTTAATTTGATGTTTCGGCTTTGAAATGCTGTTCAATTTGAAGCGAAATCAGTTCCAGAATTTAAACCGTTAAGTACATTACATCAAGATTGATTGAATGATTTGCTTTTAATTTTTACTAATTTGAATTGTAATATTTTGTTTTATATTCTGATTTGATTTATTCACTTATTATTTTCTCTGATCATGATTAAGGCGATGGTTTTATTACTTCTGATAAATTGAAAGCTTTTCTGGAAACTATCGCCGAGAAACATGGTAACTTGCGAAAACTTTTCGATTGGATTGATGCCGATAAAAATGGTTACCTTGATCGGTACGAGATTAAAATGGCCTTTGCGATGTCCAACAAGCCTTTTACCGCGGAAGATGTTGAAAGATTGATGACTGAATGTGACACTGATCGAGATGGAAGAATTAGTTTCTAGAATTCAGACAAAGTCGAATGTCCAGTTTATTCACCGACGTTTGTTAAAAATGTCCAACAGAATAATCAACATAATAACAATAACAACAACAACAACAATCAGTTAATTATGATTACCAATCAATTGAAAAAGTAAATTTAACAGAAAAGCTAAAGAATGAAAAAGAAAATCGTTTGATCAGAACTAAATCATACACATAAACTACATCGAAATCATGAAGTTCAGTTTGTATCTTCATCTTAGGTCAAACATTTTTGCAATTTATCTTAATTCTCACACCTTAATCATCTTAATTACTGTGATCACATCCTAATTGTTAACACACTAGGTTCATGTGTATCCAGATGAATGAAAAAAAAGAAACGAAACATTTGAATCAATTACAATTCTATTCATTAAATCAAGTTCAATGAATTTCGATAACATTTTCAATCAAATTCATTGTGGATGTTAATCCATGAAAGAATCAAATTAATTTACTTTGCCAATGAGAAAAGAGCATCAACATTAATCCAAGAAAAAAGACTAATCCTTGTTTAATCTAATCAATTGTTTCCATCAACTTTGTTTTCTTCGTGAGTTTTGTAATCCGTTTTTTGGCTCATTTTTAATTTTTCGTCTAAAATCAAAGTTAATTAAACTGTTGATCTAATTTAAATTCCCAATTAAACCAAATAAAGTAAGTAGATCTCTCGCTATTCCACAATCAAAGTTAATTTTTCACCATTGAAATTTTAGATTAATTCAATTGTGACATTCTCGAGGAATAGTCTTTATATTAACCACGAGAATCGTTTAAATAGCCAAAAAATTGGATAATTTTTTATCATCAAATTAATTAATGAGAATCAGGTTCAAGTGATTAGTTGTAATTTGTTTTTCTTATTATTTAGTAATCAATAATTGTCGCAATTTACTTAATTTTGGTTCTTTGGTTTATTTTGGTTTTCTCGACCCTTAGAGGTGAAGAGGTTAAAATCCTTTCCTTAGTGTTATCACCTCGATTTATTTATATAAGTTGAATTTGACATTGAGGGATAACAAATTGTTATAACAAAATCATCATGTTGACGATGATAAAATGATTATAAAAGAAGATAAAATTTTGTAATCTGGCAGAAATTCAATTTAAAACAAAATTGATAATCTAAAACTACTTGTTGATTGAAATTTTCACACAAGTTGAATGAAAATATCATTCATCTTTTCAGGATACACTGGAAAAGATGAGACAGTAAATTAATTCCTATGAACATATGCATGGATTAAGTTGACTGTTAAATCACGTAACACATAATCTGCATTAGTTATCTTGATGATTTAATGTTGTAAAACATCCTGGTAATTGAAAAGTTTCAATAATCTCAAGATTGATTACACTTTACAGTAAAGGAAAAGGTGAATCTCAATGTAATACTATCAAGTATAGAGATCTAATCAAGATTTTCCTCATCGAAAATGTCTTCAAAATCATTATAAAAATCGGTATGAACAAGTTTATCATTAGATGTAAGGTCCATCATAACGGTACCCGAAGTGTCATCAAAATCCATGTACTGTCCACCCTCTGGAAACATTTCATCAACCACAACACTTGCAGAATTTGAGCCTCCGGGCTTATTACCACCAACAGGAATTGGCCTCATCTTCCCCTGGTTAACTTGGTCCCGAAGAGAATCTGTGGGAACCAAACCAAAAAAAAGAAGAACAAAACAATTAAACAATTAAACAAACAAATGATTAGAAGCAACAATTAAATTACAAGAATAAAAAAACAAAACAAAAAGTGTCAACACAATTGAGGAATTGAAGAAGGAACCAAAATACTAACCCAGTTTTACTTGTTAAGATTTCGCTAATTAAAACAAATAGAAAAAGAAAACAAATTGAGAGTAAATACCAAAGATCAAAAGGTTGAGAACAATAAATTAATCCAATTCCAATTGTGATTAGACTATTTAATTAGCGTGGAAAAGATTAAATTTAGTTGGTTGATTGGTTTTAAATTCCAAAGTAAAAGTCATCTGGTGATCTACTTGTTACTCGAATTCGCCGCCACTAGAATGCAGCGTGTTTTCGGCGGCGCTGGTGGTTAGAGAATTGGGATCATTGTTCCTATATGATTGTTGATTTTCAGTTGAATGTTTCAATTTTTTTGTTCTTTTTTTGTTTAATTGTTTTTGTCAAGTTTTGTCATCATGAATAGTGAAAATTTTAAAAACATCAAGGGGGGTTCGTTAATCAACGATTCGGGATTTTGTTCTGTGGCTCAATCAATAATCGATGATGAATGGAAACGCAATGACCAAAGTCAAGCTTCATTACCTTCACCTAATCAGCAAATGCAACCTGATAGGATGGAAATGGCATCGAAAGCTATTCCAATTTTAATTGATCTTTTGGTCGATGAAGATACTGTTGTTCAGAAAAAAGCTCTGGACATGGTTCTTCAATTATCACAGGAAACAGGGAGTCGTGAGATGATCAGTGATTCTCCTCAGCTAATTGCCGTTCTTCTTGATACTCTTTCAAAGAGTAATAATTTGGAATTGATTGAGAATGCTGCTGGTATTTTATACAATATTTCTGAACATCATCTTGGTCGTCAAACAATTCATAAACTTTGTGGTATCCCGGAATTGATCCGAATCCTCAGCTGTGACAGCGAATCCGTCATCCATCTTGCAATCTCTGCCTTACATTTACTACTTTTACACCAAGATGGATCAAGAGAGGCTGTAAGATTAGCTCAGGGTTTACCTGTCATGGTTTCGTTACTTTTCAATCCCAATGAACAATTTTTATCTATCGTCATTGACTGTATCCGTCTTTTAGCCTACGGCGACTCTGAGACCAAACTTGTTATAAATCATCTTGGTGGTACCAATGAGCTTGTAGGAATTTTGAAGAATAGCTCATATCCACATCTACTTTGGGTGACATGCAGCACCTTGAAAGTACTATCTGCATGCCCAATAAACAAACGAGCTATCATAGATTGTGGTGGCTTACAAGCCTTATCATTACAATTGAATCCAAACATTGACATTCATGTTGGTAATTGTTTGTTCACAATAAGAAACCTTTCAGATGCTGCTGTCAATGAAGAGGGATTGGATATGTTATTGTCTAAAGTTTTGGAAATCCTTCAGGCCACATTAGCCGATACAGCCACACATGAACCCACCATTACCTGTGTCGCAGGTATTTTATCAAATCTTACGTGTAATCAAACCAATAAGAAAATAGTTTACGAATTGGGTGGAGTTGAGCTTCTAGTTGAAACGATTGTCGCTCTACGAGCCAACAATGAAATTATTGAACCTGCTGTTTGTGCTCTTCGTCACTTGACCTGCAGATATTTCGAAGCTGAATTGGCAGCTCATAAAATCATTCAATGCCAGGGTCTGGTACCAATAATCAACTTATTACATTCGCGTAGTTGGGCCATTAAAAAGGCTGTTGTTGGTCTAATCAGAAACATCGCATTGTGTGAGGCCAACATTGTTCCGCTTCGTGAACATTTTGTTATACAAAAATTAGCTGCTGTGCTCGAAGAAGCCAACATAACTGCTCAATCCTATGACATTGGCGGAGGAATAGTTTCACCTGTTGATCCTAAAATTGAGACCATAATAGAAGAAGCCACTTCGACATTAAAGATAATGGCCAAAGATCCATTGAACAAGGAAATGATTGATGGAATTGTTTGCTATTTTACCAATAGCGTCCAGATTTAATTCGATAAGAGTTTGATGATTATTATCAAAGAATATCAATTGATTAGTAAATTGTGGACAGAACCAAATTGGTAAATTAATCGTTTAATAAACTAATATTTTATTTACTTTTAACTATTTTTTTGTAGTAGTGATTTTTTAATAGATTAAATTTTTTATAACCTGACACTGAGCTCTTTAAATTGTTCCCTTCAATAATTTAAATTGATTTTGTTAATCAGCGAATTGGAATGAAATGAAAAGTTCAACTGATGCGACATTTTTGATTTTCTTGTTTATTTGATTGCAACTTTGAAGTGACAAGACTAAGCTTATTAACGTTAATTCTTTCATTAATTGTTGATTGTTGGTCAACATTTGATTGCGCTACTACTTGTCAAGGGACAATTTTATTTGATTATTTGTGGCTAATTGTGATTGATCAACCAGGAATGAACATCTTCCCAATCATTCACGTTCTAAGTGTTGTACTAAATTTAACCAACGGATTAAATGAAACAAATAGTTCACAATTAACGGAGCCTTCGCCATCTTCATTGTTACAGGGGGAAGTTCAACCTTATCCCTTGGTTCATCCAACAGAATCTCAGCTGATTAGTGATTCTGAGATTCTGATGTTCTGATGCCGCAGTCTCCTGAAAGTCGACGAAATGTCCAAAGTCAAGGATCGCATTCTGATGTTGCACATAAGTAAGTTAATAAACGACTCGAATAATCAATGACGATGATCTTTAATTTGTTTATTTTAATTTTCGAAAATCCTAAAGAAAATCTTCCGGTCATGATAATCGAGATGCTGCTCAGAAATGGAAACAAGGTTCAGAATCAAATGACCACGAAGATGAGAAATTGGTCGAAGAATATAATAAGAATAAAGGTCGAGTGTATGAGAAAAAATGGTCATGGGAAAAAGAAAAAGGCTCCGGACATGGTTGGGAGAATCAGGGTCATTCTAATCGCGATCATTTGAAAGGTTCAAATAATCGAGAATATGAATCAGGATCGAAAGGTAATCAAGGAAAAGAGAATTGGTCACAAGAGAAGAAAAAATCTCATAAACTCGAAGATAATTATGGAAAGAAATTCGATTCTAAAGGTTCAAAGGAAGAAGCCAAAGATTCACATGATCATCATGATTCTGGAATCAATCAATTTGATGATTCACATTATCGGAAACAATTTAGTTACCTTTAAATTGACCATTTAAATTTAATTTCCAAAAGAGCCCAATTAAATTGCCATTCATTCAACAAAAGAAAATAATTTGTTAATCATCGTATTTATTTTCCTTCTCATTAAATTCATCACTTAATTGTCACTATTTTTATCTGATTGTTGAAAGAAAATTTTAAAAAATTAGTTTAAAGTATAAAAAAGTCACTTTTGACTTTTGATTGATAATTTATTATATTCGATGTTTTTTCAGATCATAGAAATTAGTTAATAGCAATTTTAGTGAAACCATGTAACATATCTTGATGATTTAATGTTGTAAAACATCCTGGTAATTGAAAAGTTTCAATAATCTCAAGATTGATTACACTTTACAGTAAAGGAAAAGGTGAATCTCAATTTAATACTATGAAGTATAGAGATCTAATCAAGATTTTCCTCATCGAAAATGTCTTCAAAATCATTATAAAAATCGGTATGAACAAGTTTATCATTAGATGTAAGGTCCATCATAACGGTACCCGAAGTGTCATCAAAATCCATGTACTGTCCACCCTCTGGAAACATTTCATCAACCACAACACTTGCAGAATTTGAGCCTCCGGGCTTATTACCACCAACAGGAATTGGCCTCATCTTCCCCTGGTTAACTTGGTCCCGAAGAGAATCTGTGGGAACCAAACCAAACCAAAAAAGAATAAAACAATTAAACAATTAAACAAACAAATGATTAGAAGCAACAATTAAATTACAAGAATAAAAAAACAAAACAAAAAGTGTCAACACAATTGAGGAATTGAAGAAGGAACCAAAATACTAACCCAGTTTCACTTGTTAAGATTTCGCTAATTAAAACAAATAGAAAAAGAAAACAAATTGAGAGTAAATACTAAAGATCAAAAGGTTGAGAACAATAAATTAATCAAATTCCATTAATAATCATTGATTAGACTTTTAATTAGCGAGAAAACAATTGGTAAATTTAAAAGGAAAATCAATCGAGACTCTGGCGACCCCTAAGTTTTAAATTCCGCGAAATTTAATAGTTTTTACTTTAAAAATCAAAGATTAATTAAGAGAGTTAAACAAAACTTAATCTAATGAATCTGATTCAATTTATTTCACATTTTGAAATAACTAAATGTCTCCATGTAATATTATTAGTATCATAAGCGTTAACTGTTAATCTCCATCAGTTGATATTTTTGTGTAATTGTATCATGATTAACATCAAATTCTGGAGTCAAGTTCTATTGCCAACTGAACTTTTATCATCAGTTGAATTTTCATTCGATGATCTGAAGCCTCTGGAGTAAGAAAGAGGATAAGAAATAGCTTTTAACTTCTCCCTTACAAGAAGAAAAATTTAGTTTAGCTAATTAAGAAAAAGGGAAGAGAGAATAAGGATGAGGATGAGAAAATGAGGAGGGAGTGGATAGAAAATTGTAGAAGATTAAGATACAATTATGAGAAAGATTTGGCTTTTTGTTGGTCAGTAGAATCTAAAAAGGAGAGAAAGAAAGAAAGAGAGAGAGAGAGAGAGAGATCTTTCTTAAAGCTAAAATGACCACCAGGTAGTAGATACACAGGTAGATACTCAAGTGTAGAAAAGGAACAAAGAGTAATGATGTTTTTCTCTGGTAAGAAGGAAGATGAGGGGATGAGGAAAAATGATGAAGGAGAAGTTGAGAGAAAAAAATTGACCATAATGAGCGTTGAAAGGCTTTCACAGATTTGCAAAAATGTCCATAATCGGATTATAAGGGGTCATGCTTTTGGAAGATCTTGAGTCTCTCTTAGGCAGGGTGGGGATTGTGGCACAACGTTCTTTAGCCCCAGGGCCAGTCCATTGTCCACAAAGTGTTTCCAATACTTCACGAGTATAGTTAATGATCAACTCATGTATGTATTCATCAGAGTCTGGGGGGCAAATACCTTCAATACCCTTCTCCATACAAGCTCTGAAAAATGAAGAGTAACTGTAAGATCATAAGTCCCACCAACCAAATGATATATTAGGTTAGAGGAAGACAAATACCAGAAAAGGAGAAGAGAGAGAGAGAGAGAGAGAGAAACCACAACAGGTAAAAGGAGAAAGATAATCATTAGTAAAGAAGAAGAAGATGATGATAAAAAGAAAGAGAGATTAAAGTAGAGAAAAGAGAAAGAAAAATAAAAGAAGATTAGTAAAAAAGATTAGAGAAAAACAAACAATATGAATGAAGAAAATGAATGAACAACAAGATGAGATGATTACAGAGAAAAGGAGATTAAGACAAATATTGGAACAAATTACACAACAATTAACAAAGAAAATTAGGAGAAACAATTAATCGTAATCAACATACCAACAAGTCATTGCAATTTTATTCCTCGAATCAGCACCTTTGATCCTCTCGAGATTGTCGATATATTTGTCCATACATTGGTGTAGAGCATTGATATTCTTGTTGACACATGAGAATCGACGAATGAATTCTAATAATGATGAGGAAAAAAAGAACAAGAGAAACAATTAAGATAATTAAAGAAGAAAAAGAGCAATGTAAGTAAATGAGAAGATGGATGAAGGAAGAGATAAGAAACAATCAATCAAAGGACGAGATTAGATGAGAAAGGAGAACAATTAGTATTAATGATAGAAAACAATGAGAAATCAATTGATTAACAATCGATTATCAATCTTACCTTGTCTTCCCTCTTGAGTGTTGCAAATCCTATTGACATTGGTTTCGACAGCTCGATTTAGGACCGATGATATTTGTTTCGGTAAAGGTAGAAGACATTGGCTCGAATATGATTTTAGACATTTACCTGCTTTTCGAACAGATCTAATGATGTAAACAGAAGAGATTATTTTTTATTCGATTTAATTAGAAAAAAGTTTGATTATCATGATGTAACTTACGAGCAATATTTGTCCATTTCACTGATTGTTTGGGGCATTCGCGATTCCCTGTTACCAACGACAAACAATTTAGAAGCACAAACATCAGCTTCTATTGCTTTTCCAGGTGGACATTGGTCAGCAAGGGTCACTAAATGGTGGAAAAGTTGAAACAATTAATCAACAGACTTGAAACATTATCATGTTGCTAGTTTTAGATAAAACAAAGGGTTAAATTGAACTAAAGTTTAATTGATAATCGTTTCTAATGAAAACTTACAATCAAAAGTAATTAAAGTAAACATTAGTGATGGTAAAAGAAATACAACTGATTCCATATTAAGACAATTGAATTTTTACTTTGAAACACAAATAATTATCTTGACTGGCTAGGATGAGGGAAATGTTGGTTAGTCTTTTGACACTTTTTGGAAAATGAGTTTGTTTCTCTGTAAAAAATGTCATCTTCAGACAAGAAGACAAGAAAAGTGACCAGCATAGTGACCATTAACATTCACTGAAGCTTTATTAATTAACTTTTAACTTGGTCAGTTAAAAATGTAAACTATCGAAATCAATGTGTCTCGATTCAAAAATAGATTGATTATTATTTCTCCATGAATTTTATATTTGCACGGCAATCGACAATCGGGAGCTCCAAGCTCTTGATTCAAAATAATTTTAAACTTATTCTAATAGTAGTTGTTTGAACATGAGAAAATTTCATCATGATAAACTGATTCTTTCATTTTTATATTTCCCCTTTTCAAATTAAAAAAGTGATCGTAATGTATTAATAATAAGTGAAAAAGAAACAAGAGATGAATTATAAAATGCTATTATCTTCTTGGATATTGAAGAAATTGTTTGTTATTTTCTCGATAGCGTCCAAATTTGATCCGATTACCGTGTGATGATTACCATCAAAAAAGTGTTCGGTTCCAAGCTGAGAGAAAATTAAAAAATAATCGGTTGATTAGTAATTGTGACAAAATCAAATTGATAAATCAACCAATCGATCAATGTGTTTGAATGTTTACTTACTTTGAACCGAGTTTTTATTGCATTTTGGAATAATGGTAAATCAGTTTTAGCTCGAATATGAATTATTTCGGTTAATTTCGAATTGAGTTTTGGTGAATAATTGATAAGCATTTGTCCTTTTTGAAAAGTTAACTCATTAAATTTAGAAATCATATCTGCCTTATCTTCGGGAATTCCTTTATCGATCATTATTTTTGTGAATATATCGAATCTTTCTTTTCGATTGGAACAATGAGCTATTTCCGAATCGAATTTATTCGTGTCCAAATTCGAAAATACTCTTCGAATCGCTCCTTTAACAAATTCAGTCTCTTGTATAATTATATCGGCAGTTTTAACTCTAGTATTTTTAGTTATTTCTGCGACATTTTTTAGCTTTTCAGGATCAGCATCAATAAGAATTAATTTCTCAATTATTGGTCCACTTCCGTTGGACGCAAATCGAGTCTCCAATTCACAAGCGATATAAGCAATAATACCTCCAAATGAGTAGCCAACCATGTGTATTCTGTCATTTGGTGAATGAAACTTGATTAGATAATCAGCATAATAATTTGCTGCAGACTCGATTGATGTAAGAGACGAAAGACCGTAAGGCCAATTAAGTCCGAGTGCTGGTCTTTTAATCCGATCAACGAGACCTTTCATTAAATCATAATTTCCTTCGATTGGAGGAACATAATAAACTGGCCTGAATGTTTTGTTTGATTTTACTAAATTATTAAATTCAATTGTTATTGCTTTTGGAACTTGAAGAGATAAAAGTGATCCAAACTTTTCATTCGTATCATTCAATTCATTGATGGTTGAGCCGCTATTTGTTAATGATTCTGATGTTTGTTTATCGTTTTTTATACTGTTTGATAATTCCTTCAATTTAATGATGGTAAGAGCTCGAATCTCTTTTGAATTCATTGAAATACTGTACTGCTTCTCTAAAACTTGTTGAACTTCGATTGCCATCAATGAGTCCATACCAAGTTCACCTAAAGTAACATTAGGATCAAATGAATTAATATCTTTGATGCCCAAGATGTGACTGATTGAACTAATTATGTCTCTAGAAACGAGCGCAACACTTTTCCTATCGATTGCTCGAATCCAACTCGATACAACGGGAGAAGGGTAGATTAACGCTCGTTCAAGTACAGAAAAACAAGAATGGATTCGTTGAGCTGCTGTTCCGCGAACTGAAACAATGTTAACACCTATTTTCTCAACGACAAATCCAACATCACCAACGTATCCCCATTGAATCGCTAGGCCATGAAGTCCATGTTTGAATCTCTCTTGACAAATCGATTCCATATAAGAATTGGCTAATCCATAATTAGATTGACCTGGATTACCTCGTCCACAAGCGACTGATGAGAAGACCATAAAATAATCACAATCAACTGGAGCTAATGATCGAGTTAATTTATCTAAATTCTTTGTTATTTTTACTTTAGATGAACAAACTTTTTCATAAGTTTCAGCATTTTGATCGGATATTAAAGCATCAGACAAAACGAGAGCACAATTAAATATCCCACCAATTGGATAAGGTGAAAGGGATTCGAAAAGAGAACAACAATCTTGTTCATTAGTTAAATCTTGTGTTGATATAATGACATTTGCACCAAGTGACTCTAATCGCTCCAAAGATAATTTATGGTAAGATGATTTAGGTCCCGATCGAGAATTGAGAACCAATTGTCGAACACCTTTTTTGACCAACCAAGATGCTAATTCCAAACCAAATCCACCAAATCCACCAACGATAATATAAGCTTTACTTGAATAGAAAACCGGTGCTGCGATTGATAATGGGATCGATTTAGTTGATAAAATTTTATCAACGACCTTTGATGTTTTCGTTGTCGAGGAATATTCATCTCTAATTTCATGTTTAATCTTAATTAACACTTTCCCACTGTGTTTACTTGAGGCCATAGATCGAAAAGCTTTCATAATTTGATCTGCTGCGAACACTTTTCGTGGCAGGGGTTTTACTATTCCTGAGATGATTCCTTTATTTACAAGTGCTTTTATTTTCTCTCTGAACTTTTTCGTGATATTTTCGTTCTCAGCAAAGCACCTCGAACAACTAGTGAATGCATCGATCAGAATAGCATGAAAAGTCCGACCTTCATCGAAAAGTTCTACTCTCATCAAAAAGTCCCACGTTAATCTTATTATTCTGCATCATATCATATTTACCGATTTCCAGAAATCGTCCACCCGGTGCTAAACATCTCACACTTGCTTGTAGTTTGTCCTCAGATAATGAATTGAGAATCACATCAACACCTCGACCATTTGTGTGTCTAAGAATATGTTCTTCGAATGAAGTTGATCTCGAATGAGCGAAACTCGTCTCGTCCAATGAAGGAAATTGTTCTTGAAGAAATTTCCGTTTCTCATCTGTACCAACTGTTGTAAAGATCTTACAATTCATACTCAGACAAATGTTTATCGCCGCTATTCCAACACCTCCTGATCCCGCGTGAATAAGTACAGATTCTCCTTGACAAAGTTCACCACGAATCAATAGACTATAAATCGCAGTTGCATAAACAACCGGTACGGTTGCTGCATCTTCCATGGTCCATTTTGATGGAATAGACCAACTAAAATCATTCGATTCAATTATCAGTTTGGTCGCTAATGCTCGATGAGGGGCAATACCCATAACTCGGTTACCATTCAAATCCACTCCAGCATATTCATATCCTATTGGTGTTGACATTTCTACAGGAGTGCGCCAATCGGGATTAAGATTAGAAGGTAGTCTTCCAGTCGCATGCATAATATCTTTGAAATTGAGCGACGAATAATTGATTGTCACAAGAGATTGGCCTTTTTTAGAATCAGGAATTGGATTGAATTGAGTCCATACAAGTGATGAAAGATCACCAGGAATTAAACATTGGACATAAGCATCTTTACTTTGGATTAAACATTTGCTATCGGTCTCTAGTTTTGTCGGTATCTCGAAGTGACAATAATCTCCCCATCCGAATTGATCATCATAAATATTGAATTTACAGTCATTAGATATTAATTGATTGAAAGTTGGACCATTTAAATCAATTGATGATAAATCGATTCCTTTAGAATCAGGTTGAAGACCAACACAACGAATTCGAGATCCAAAAGGTTCTAAACTCAGACATTTAGCTAAACCAAGTACACTTACATCGGAAACATTTTGACTAACCAACCAAATTATTGATTCCTCATCAGCTTTTATTTCATCCTTGAGATTCTCAAGCCACGAATATTCAAATGGATTAACTCGGATAATCTTATGTTTCTTAAGATTAATCGATTCTGGTAACTTTTTGAACATTAATCCGACTAAAGGCAACGAAGTAGGTGAAAGTGTTCGTTTACTTATACAAACCCAATTATTTTCTTTCATTTTTTCAATTAGTGAATTTGAATCAATCGAATTTGTAAGAAAATCTTTCAATAGATTTTGAACAAATGGGTTCGATCTGAGACTTTCAAAGTTAGATGAGTTCTCTCTGGTCAATACCAACAAATGGCCCATTGGTTTTAGAATCGATTGAATTTTATCGATATTCTCGATTAATGAATCTATTGACTGATTAGTCATTTTGTAGATAACTAAATCATTTTCACTCAGATCACTTGGAGCTGGAGATTCATGGATATCCCAAACAATCATATCCACACCCGAAAGTTTATCAACGGTCTCTGACTCAGGTACATTCGATTTCACCAAAGTATAATCAACTTTCATTGAGCCTAATGATTGTGTTTCGAGAAATGATTGAACAGAAGCAAAGAGAAAACATTGAGTATCATTGATTTCGATAATACTGGATTGCGAATTAATGTGTCCACCATAATATTCATGAAGTGTCGCAGTATTTACGAATGGCTTTAAAAATCTTTGATTAGAATGAAGAACTGCATTTTTACCAATCAACAAATCATCAGATAGTTTAGAAATAATTTCTGCCGTTGGTGTTTCTCCTCGACACAAGCAGATCAAATAATAAGCAAATGAATGTTGATCTTTTTTCAGGCTAATGGTGTTTGTTAATGATGCAATTTCCTGATCAATGTTACAATCACTCGAAGTTAGAGTCTTTTTTCGTAACGAATCAATAAGACCAAAGACCAGTGATGAATATGATTCGATTGATTGTAAGGTCATTTCATCAACAGCACCACTTTCATCGAATGGAGTAAAATCATAAGTTTCAAGAATAACTAATTGGTTTCTCCGATTAGTATCGGTTGCATTGAAACCTTTGACCCTGTTGCCGATAACCTTCATATAACCTTTTGAATTCACTATTATTTTATTTTATTCATGTTGATGTTGTTGGGATGAGATCCCCACTCTAACTAATTACATTTTTTAGTTCATCATCATCATCATCATCTTTATCTTCATCCTCATCTCCATCCTCATCATCTTCGTCATCCTCATCTTCATCTTTTTTAGAGTTGGCAATGTTGGTTGCCAACATTTCCCCGACGTTATGGTGACCAGTCCACTGGTCAAAGCCAATTTGTTTGATGTTTTCTTTGGACGTGGACCTTGTAACGTCTTACCGTCATAATTTGATTGCATTCCTTATCTGGGCATTGAACTAATAACTTGCGAAAATTATTCATTGAAACGGGACCGGTATGTCGCAGTTGGCTGCGGTTGAAGGGTAAACCACATCTTGCGGGGCACTCGAAGTTATTTCGACTCTGGTAATCTAAAAGACAAGAGCTACAAAACATAACTTTACAACTAGTTTTTTCCTTATGTACACATGGGTTTTCTGCTAAATTTTGACAGATGATGCACTCGTAATCTCTGACTACATTGGTGTCTAAAAATAGGTAGGAGGTTAGCTTGAAAGGGTTTACAATGGGTTCAGGTATAAGATAAGATGGGATTTGAGGTTCAGGTTCAATTATCTGGATCTCGTCATCATAGGTTTGTGAGCGTATTAACTCTTCAATGGGATCTACGGTGATCAGGACGGGTACCCACTCTTCGTGACTCATGGTGACAATTCTAGATGTATAAAGAGAATAGGAAAGACAAAAGTCCTAATGATAAAATCAATAAGTATTACTAGAATTAGTATAATGTACTAATAGCCATAGGATTTGGTATATAAGGAGGTGGATTATTATTATTGTTATTAGGAACTAATGCTACTGAGACAACTGGTCGTCCAATCATGTGACACAGCATCGAAAATAATTTGAAAATTAACAAAATGACGACACAAAAAGCTATAACACCAATTAGTAAATTGCTTAATTCATCCTTGAGTTTTTCAAGCCAAGTTTTTTCTTGTTTCACAGCAAGTGTTTGTGAGTCAGTTAATTTTTCTAAAAGCCTGATTGTTGTTGTGTTGAGGGTTATTAATTTGACAGGGTCAGCCATTATTCGCCAATTGATTTGGTTGGACCACCCATCTATCACCTTTGAACTAGTGATAATGTAATTTTCAGCACTATAGTTGTAATCACCAATTGAAAAGGACATCTCTTTAGATAATTTCAAAACAGCATTCGGACAATCTCGAACATGGTTGAACAAGCTGAGATTGTACCCATAACAATAGACATATAGATTTTCATCTATTATTTTAACTTGTGGCTTAGACAATTTATAATTGTTCAAGGAGGTCTCAAAACAGTTAGTTAATTGCCAGCTCTGTGGCTTTGGTTGTTTACAGAATGTCCCACTCACGAACATGATTAGTTTCGCTTTGAGTTCTTCTTCTGTTGCCTCACAAATCTCTTTGGACTTTGTATTGGATATTAAATATTTTGGACCGGTATATTCAAAGGTACAAGTTTCGTTTCCAACTTCTTTAAGTAGTTTGAAAGGGTCGACCTCATGAATTACCAAATTATCTTCAATTTGCGGGACTATGAATCTCAACTTAAGGACGTAGGTATCGTTTTCTTTAGAGAGTTCTGTGGTGGTCTCGGTCATAGGCTCCAGAGGACATGAGGTGTTACAAGGAAGTTTTAATCGGAATCGTTCGATGAATTCCTTGGTGAGTTTATTATCCTGTTTAAGTTGAATAATGGTTTCTTTGATTTTCTGAGTGTTATAAACTGTGTCGGCGGAACGGAAAGCTGTTAATGGAAGTATCTGTTCTAACTGCATAATGTCAGTTTTCAACTTCAGGGCCTCATCAGCTAAAGTTTCTAAAGCGGTTTGATGTTGTCTTATCGCTGTCGAAGTTAATCTATTGAACTCTTGTAATCGATCGACATCGATCTGTGATTGAGCAACAGACGTATCCCCAAAGTAATAGAATACTTGATTTACCCCGGCTACGAGAGCAGATGAAACCAATATGGCTGTAGTAATGGTTAATGGTTCTCTTCGCGCTCTCCTTGTTTGGGTGGTTCCCGGCACGAAGTATGGATCTAGATTGTCAGTTACATACTTGTAACAATATTCCATTGCTAATTCCAAGAAATTTCCTTTTTCAGGTTCTTTTTTTTAGTGCTTGACATACTTTTCGTATGGGCTCTACACATGTTGTATTTTGGTACTCCTTTTCTAGTCTTTTACACCCCCAATAGGTGCCCGACGCATATCGGTGTACCATACATGGTTGATGGCCATTGTTGTATATGTTAAACTTTTTTGATTTATCAGACATTGGTTTACAAGGGTTTTGAATGGATATAGTATAATTAACGTAAGCATTCCCTTTTAGAAATTTCCTGTCAACTTTTCCCCAGATGATATCTGGTCCATATTCTTGACAGATGGAAAGACCAAAGGATAGAATAATGATCATCATTATGAGTGAAACGTTACTTGTCTCTCTTCGTCGATTCCTGAGGCGTTTCTCCTCCACTTCTGGTTGTTTCTCTCGTCGGTGGTAGAGTTTTATTTGCGATGCATGAACTCTAAACTCGTCCGTCGAATTTTCTCGTTTCACTATGTAAGTGGTGTTACC